CAAGTGCTTTTCTGCAGCTTTAATAAAATGATAGCAGCTTATGAGTAAAGTAGGCTTTTAGGGCTGTGTTTATGCTTGTATGGCTGAAGCATTGATGTTCCCTGGGTTGGAAATGTCCCTTCTGTTCTCAGACGGATGAGCAGGCTGCATTTCACCTCATTTACAGAACAAAACACTCAGGGCTTCAGGGTTTAGAAACTATTGTGTCAGGCTGGATCTAGATCTGTGTTGAAGACAGGGTTGATCCCTGATAAGATGATCAACCAGTACCAAGCCTGGCCCCTAGGACATAGGCCAGTTCAGGTCCCTGATCCCAGAGCTGTGTGTGAGGCTCCCTCCATACTGCCTGGGGAAACCTAGGGCTCGGCATCGCCTTGTGATGGGTCCCAAAAATGTCCTGATACCAGTCAACAGACTTTGCAGGTGGGGATTGGTCATGCTCTGAGGGTGGTGCTCAGCAACCAGAGTGCTGTGTTCATAGAGGAAGGTCACTTGTTGTCCTGAGCAGCCTCAGGAGCCTCCTGGGTGCTGGGAGCTCTGAAGGCTCATGGAAAATTCAGGCAATTCCACATTTGGTAGAAAATTGAGCTGAACCACATCCTGCTTCTGATGCTTGAGCCCTTTATTGGATCTAAGCTCAAGTCCGGTGACTGGGAGCAGTAGCCATTTCATAAGCTTCTTATGAGGATGAGCCACTAAAGGAACAAAATTCTGCGGTGCATTAAAGGAGAAGCATATGTCTGGAGGGAGGCCAGCCCATTTCCTCTTCCCATGCTGTCTCGGGTAGGCAAGACGCTTCCCTGGAGGTCTAAAAATGTTCAGAGGAGATTTCTGCCCTCCACAGTTCCTTCTGGAACAGTGCATGGGCTTTGTTTCCAGGCTTTGATCCCTTCCTCGTCAGTGACCAGTTCTTCTCACTTTCTTTCTCTCTAGGATCATGGACCGAGACACACAGGGTATGCTCAAGTCTCCAGTGCCCTTCCTTCTAGGGCACAGCCTCTCCAAGGATGGCATGGACTCTTTCAGCAAGCATTTTGAGAGCATCATGGAGTCCCATCGAGCCAAAGGCACATCTTACACCAGCCTGGACTCCATTGACATCCTCTCCTCCCCGGCTCGCACCCATGGAACCTTTTTCACTTTTGACCTCCCAACCCTCACCCCAGAAGTACAAGGACAAATCCGAGACAGCGCCAAGCTGATTGAGGAGAACTTTGCTCCTCTGGCTCACTTGGAGCCAGACTCTGGGACCAGTTCAGCCACAGATGCCCCCTGGACAGAGAGGGAGCAGAAGCGGGGGAAACGAAAGAAGGGTGCTCAGCACAGCCCTTGCTGCTCAGAGGGCAGCTGTGGCACTCCCTTGGCTTCCAACATGAGGTGAGTGACCAAAGCTGCTTGCTGTCCAGCTGGGCTAACAAAGTTTGGTTGGAGTCTAGCCCTATGGGGCATGTTTTGCAGCCAGAGCCTAACTTGTGTTGCTGGGGAAGAGAGGATGGGTCAGAACCAGGTGTGTTGGCTTTTCTGTGACGTGGCTGATCAGGTCAGTGATCACCATGGTATTGTGGTAGGCATGTCAGTGGGAACACATCTCCTTTTTCATCTTTGCCAACTTTGTTGGTGCTGGAGGGCTGTGAGGTTTCCTCCAGCCTAGCAAGCAGGGAGTCCCAGGACTTCAATACTGTGGTGGTCCCTGTTCAGTAGAAATTCAACAACCTTTCCCTCCTGGAGACCAAGACTTCCTGGGACTGCTATGTCCCTCACCATTCAAGTAGCAGCCAACTGTTTTTTGAGGACAAGAGTCCTATGGTCTTTTACCTGTTGTCCTGGACTCTTCATCCTTGTGTATGTTTGCAGATGGAGAGCAGAGATGAACACAGCTCACCAGAAGCTCCCTATACATTGCTCCAAGCCTGCCTGCACCCAGGCTCAGGATGGCTGCCCCATGCCTAGGGAGATCTCTGGTGGAGCAGGCTGGGAGAGCTCAGCACTATCTTCCTGTACTTGACAACCTTCCAGCAAGGTCTTGGGCACTTGAGATGTGGAAGGTTGGCAGGCTGCATCTTTTCCCTTTTCCAGGGTATGTTTGTCTGGCGTCTTGTCAGGGCTGGTCTGGATGTCAGGCCTGGATGTCAGGTCTGGACCAGTGGTTCAGCTGAAGAGTTGGCGGCTCTCAGAGAACTTGGTGTCTCTGTCATACTTGTGTTGTTTGTGTTGCCTCCCTGCAAGGTGTCTCTGCCCAGTGACCTTCGGTGCAATGCCAGGGCCTCCTGAATCCCTCACCCATTTTTAAGCTTTGGTCTTTCCACACCAAACTTTTTGGGTTCAGTCTTTTCCAGAACAAACCTATGTCACTTCTGGTTGCAACCTTTGCTACCATTGTAGGCTCAGCTTGGGGTGGCCAAGAGGGGTTCTGAGCCCTGTGTCCTCTCTGATCCTCAGTCAAGAGAAGAGAGTGGGCTACTGTGTCTGCTCTGTTGTCCCTGCATCACTCCAAGGATGTTTTGGAACAAAGACACTAGGTTAGGCCTTCCTTTTCTTTGGGACACTGCAGGAAGGGACATGGTGGCACAGAGGCCAGGCAAGGTTTGTGCAGTAGAAGTGGTGATGTCCGAGAGGCACAAGGCAGCAAAGGGTGGCAGTACCTAGCCATGATCACTGCTCTTTGCAGGAATAATTGGCTTCCTATTCCTCTGCCAAGGCAAGGGGACTGAAACAGAGCACCCTGGAGGAACTGAGAGGACAGTTTCTGACAGTTTCTGACTTACCATCCACAGGGTGTCATTGTACCACAGCAACACTACTGCAGGCGCAGAGGGAGGTGTGAGGGTGCAGAGACACAGCTAGCAGCAGGAACTGCAATAACGTGGCTTAATAGAGGTTGTTCCTCACTGGTTTATGTCAGTGTATGGTCAGTGAAGAGCAGAGTGTGCCAGCAGTGCTGAGGATGCTGCAGCACTGTGGTCCCCTCCTAGCTCAGGTTTCAGAGCAGCACTGGGCTATGGTACAGGCAATAGAGCAGGCAATGGGGAGGTGTTCCCCTCCCCCCCAGCCCCCAGACTACCCTGGATCTTTACAGAGCCTTTGATAACTGGTAGGTCCTAGCACAGCTCTTCTCTTAGTCAAATTCAGGCCCTGTTTCTTGCCCATCTTCTGGGCTGCAGGTGATGTTCAGACCTGCCATGCTGCCCTGCTGCAGGCCCTTGGCAGGCAGCAGCCCAGCTCTCTACTCCCTGGCATGGAGTGAGCCACCCTTCCCAGCCCCCGTGGGTGATGGTGGACAGGGAGGCAGGTGTGGTAGGGATCCGATGTGTTGTGTGGTAGAGAGGACTGGGGATTGGCAGCACTAGCTAGGCTGGGAAGAAGGGAAGACATGAGGTACCGGGGGCTGAGATAGCCTGTTATCTGCAGGGTCAGTTCTCAGGCAGCAGGGCTTTCTGGAAAGTGAGAGATGCAAGAAGTTTCCTCTTTCCCCATCACTGGTACTACCAACTTTCTAGACTCTGAATGGAGTCAGCCATGAAGCTGAGTTGCTCAAAGGTACCCATGAGGTGGAGTCAGTGGCTTTTGGTGCCAGCAGGGCTGGCAGGCATGTTCAGAACTGATCTGCTCAAGTGGGGAATATCCTGGTGACACTCCCATTAAGGAGTCTTTAATAGAAGTTGCTGGGGAAAGAAGCTCAGGAACGTCTGCAGCTATTGTAATGCAGCATCACCTGTGCCAGCAGGGCCAGACCAGGGGATTTGCCTGTGGTCACAAGGGGTACAGACTGACTGCCACCAGCTCAGGTGAGCTGGGTACCACGGACTCTGCAGTGGGGGCTGTGCTTTATGCTGGCTGCTAACTTCAGGGTTGGTAGAGGTGACTTTGGGCTGCAGGCATGAGGGGTGACTGGTGACAAGCACCAGCTGGTCTAGACCTATGTGTGCTGCCCTGCAGTCATCCCTCTTGTACCCCAAAACCTTTGACATTTTTTGTTGCAATGGTTGATGTCTGGATGTCCTTGGAGCCCATGACTTTCCATCTCTGGGTGGCAGAAGCAACCAAGCTGTTGATGCCCCCTGCATTGCCCAGGAGATGCAGTGTCCCCCACTGCTGTTGGTGGCCTTGGTTCACACAGCCTTGCTGCTGGTACTAAGGCTCTGGTGTCCCTCGGTACACGATAGTCTGAGACCACCCTTTTCCCTTCCCCTTGCACGGGAGCAGTGTGCATTAGTGCGGACCTGGTGAGCCCCCACTGGGAACTGGGATGTCCTCTGCTGGCCTCGGCTAAAAGGGAGGGAGCAGGGGCTAAACAGCAAGCGTGCCAGTGTGGGACTCGGCTCCCCACCCCTCCACAGCAGGACAGCCTCTGCTGGCACCCCGTGTGTGAATGGGTTGCCGCCCCATTTGGGCAGGAGGTGGTGTGCAGGTATCGCTGGGCAGGGGACTGCAGTTATAGCGGTCTGTCCCGGGGGCCATGAGGTGACCTGCAGGGCGGGGGGGGAGGGCGCAGAGGGTCTGGCAGGTCCCTCTGGGGCTGGCGGGGCTGGCCAGGGACAGATGCGGTGCCGGTGGGGCGGCGGGAGCCGGGGCAGCCCTGCGGACCGCAGGGAGG